CGCCCGAAACACCCCCGAAGGCCGAGACCGAATGGAATGGTAGGGCCAGCCGCTGAGTCGAAGACTTGCTCTCCCGTCCTATTGTTCGTGACCAACCATCTCTCCGGCCAGAACTTGTTCATGCCGTCCTCACTCCAGGATCGCATTCCACGCTCGTCCATGGCATTCTGGCAGGATTCGCTGCGGAGAGGCTTAGGGATGTCGAAAGCAGGCTCCGTAAAACTTGCGCCTTGGTTGGCGACGAAGACGTTGGTACCTTTGGGGATGTGGTGGCCAAGTACGATGGTGTCCTCGCTGGCCTGACGCTCCTGGATGATTGTTGTATGGGCTAAGCGTAGCATCTCCTCGACCAAGGCATCCAAGTATGGGATGCTGGTTTGTACGATCTCGGCGTATGTTGGAGCGCGGCCGTCGGCTACAGCGGATTCGTGCTTGCTACGGAGGATCTGGCGTAACCGACTTTGGGATTCTGGGTTGTCGGAGAGGAATTTGACGCCCCAGCACAAGGTGGTGCTTGTGGTGTCATGTCCAGCGACGATAAAGCCAAGAGTCTAGAAAACACAGCCCGTCAGATCGATCCAGCTCAAACAGAGCAGTCTGCTTACCTCATCTCTCATTGTTTGGTTCCAAAACACCGGCTCTCGTCCCTCCTTTTTGGCAAATGTACCTTCCCTCTGTACCATGAGGTCAATCGCCGATTTGACGTAGTCATCATTGTCATCCGCGCCTTCATCCTTGTATCGATCGACCGCCTTCATGATCTGCTCTTTCAAGAACTTGTCGAGAATGGCTCTGTTGCGCTGCACGCTGGGTCTCCATCCGATAAACCACCAAGCAAGTTTGGGGAAACCGCTCGCGGCAACTGGGCCCACGTTCTCGACGGAATTCAGTGTTGCTTGAAATGACGGGTCGATGGGTGCGGAAGGGAACTCGATGGCGTTGTTCCCATCAGACTTGTTGGGTGTACCCGCTGCCGCAACCTTTTCTAATTGCGGGATCAGTGCTCTCTGCCCAATCGCATCACCAAATCCAAAGTCGAAAACAGCATCTAGCGCGGCGTAGAAAATGTCAATATCCGCTTGGAACGCATGCCCCGCAGCAGCCTGTGCTTTGATTTTCCAAAGGTCTAGGAGGCGAGCGGAACTCTTGTAGATATTAGGCGCTGCGACTCCGTGCAGAAACTTAGGCGTCATCAAGTCCTGGAGGAGGCGTCGATGAGCCTTCCATTCTGGTCCGGTTTTGATATTGATGTGGAAGTTCGGGGCCTCTCCGCTGAGAAGCGCAATACTGAAGTCGGAACGCTCGAATTCCTTGCGGCGCATCAGGATGTCTTGGCCCTCATGGAAGTCGGCGACGAGGACCGAAGGCTGGTGGAAGGGCTCGATGAAGGCCTGGATGATAGGGCTCTTGTGGATACGAGTCTGGTTGATCAGCCAGCCGTAGACATTTGTGTTGGCTTCTTTTTGCAGACGTGGAATGTCTCCGAGCAAGTTCTTGGTAGCCTCGACATTGTATGGGATCCCAGGGATTGGCTTGGGAAGTAGATATTGGTATAAGGAGTAGAGGAAAAACGACAGCGCCACAGCGGCAGAGGCTACGACGTAGAACATGTCGGTTGGCGATTCTTTACGAATTTGTGACATAGGTAGTAAGAATGAAATAAAACTACTCTGGCGGCTAGTGATTTATTCGATGGTGATCGAAGAGAGCAATGAAGTAGAAGCCCGTTTCTTGTGTTTTATCACCATTGCTTGTCACAGTGGAGCACGGTTTCGGGTCCGCGGAAACCCGTGGCGGATGTGGCGGGGTGAAATGCGAACAATCCAAGTGGTTCGCGGGTAGAGGGCCCCCGCGGATGACGGAATCCCCTGCAACATAATATGCGATCGAATTTCAAGATATTTCGGCGGTCGACTGCCGGACCCTCGCGGAGGATACTTGTGCGGGTGACGGCGGCGGCGGCGGGCGGCCGGTGGGTAATTTCCGCCGTCACCCCTGACTTACGGAGCTTCGTCCGGCGCTTAACATGCCGGAAACGGTAAGGGTGCCGCCGATGCTTCCAACGGACGCGGTCTGAACAAACTTCCGACGGAGCTGAGCAACAGCAGAAAATCTCCAGGCTGCCAACACCGCGCTCTTAACGTCAAGGCACAGTGGCGCGCCTGAACTATCAGATCAATCTTTCTGTCGCGGGGTAATTGGGGCAGGTACTGACGGGAAGAATGGGTTTAAGTTAGACTTCCAGACCTCCCGAATTGTGACGTCGCCTTATGGAGGCGCGCAACTCACAAGTATATAAATCTAGAAGATGGCCACACAGGTAAACATGCGTTTCAACTCAGCATCATTCCAGTCATCATCATTCGCAAATCCTTCAGCGCTGTTCAGAAATCATGGCCTCGACCACTTTGAAATCCTTCGACGGAAAGGTGATTGCCATCACCGGAGCTGCTAGCGGCATCGGACGCGCAGTCGCGACTTACCTCGCCACCCGTGGAGCATCTCTTGCAATCTCAGACGTCCAGAAAGACGCTTTGTTAAGTTTGGCCACAGAGCTGTCCGCTTCTGGAGTACAGATTGAGGCCACCGTTGTTGACGTCAGCGATTCCGAGCAAGTCAAAATCTGGATCGAAGAGACAGTCAAAACCTTTGGGAAGCTCGATGGTGCGGCCAACATCGCCGGTACAGGGGGCTCAACCGTGGACCGTCTCGAGGCGCAGACCGATAAAGACTGGAACCTAGTTCTCGGCATCAACCTATCTGGGACGATGTACTCCATGCGGGAAGAGCTGAAGCATCTTACAGATGGAGGGGCAATTGTCAATGCCTCGAGTGTTCTTGGGCTGAGGAGCGCTCCCGATGCAGGTGGTTCGGCGTATGTTGCCAGCAAGCATGCGGTGCTAGGGATGACTAGACAAGCAGCGAGGGAATATGGTCATCGCAAGATCCGTATCAATTGCGTCAACCCGTAAGTGAATGCCATTTCATCAATGTCAATTTCCATGCTGATTTTCGCGACAGTGGAGCTATCGACACCCCAATGATGGCACAGGCAAAGGCAGAAGACTCGGGCGTCTATAGTCCTCCTATCCCAAGATGGGGTCAGCCTGAAGACGTGGCCGCTTTGGTAGGGTTTCTGCTAGGTGATGAGTCGACGTACATATCCGGGACATCGATAGTCATTGATGGGGGACTCACGTGCTGAGTATGTCTTCAAAGTCAGTTTCGTCATTGAAATGGATTTTGAAAAAGGTAGAGCCAAGCGGAACCTGTAACGATAATATGACAGGTGGCCATAACCTGAAATATCATGGAGTCTGATTGCTCGTAGGACCATCAATGGATAGAATAGTTAGTAATTCTTACATAGCTTGCCGCCAGGTGCCTTGATGGAAGCAATCGCATTTATTCTTTTCGATGCCATCTATCGTATGCGCGTGAAGTCGCTGTTGCGATGAGATAGCGATATACGCATGTATCTATCCCTTAAATCGATCATCTGGAATACAGCACTATGCAGTCAGATTCTGGGCGATGGCTATTTACGTCTGCAATGCTTGTAGGATGCCGCGAAGATGTTTTCCATGACACATGCATCCAACTATGAAACTTCAAGTTCATGTGTAGCAACAAATGACAATTCGAAGAGAAATATGTTCATTACTTGCAGCCATCATAGTGCGAGAGATGTTATCGTTTTACCATGTGTGAGGGATGAGCAGGCCGTGACGGGGCAGCACATTTCCCGGGGCGGCACAAGTCCCTTTTCCACAAGGCAATCAAATCTTCCACGGAGTTCTCTGGCCATCTGTTACCCCTTCAGGTGCCTTGCTAACGGCTGAAACCGAATGGTGACCAGCCACGTCTGCAGTGAGCGGAAAAGGCTGGCGAATCGCGATGTAGGATGACTTCAAAGTGCGGGATTCACATGCATTGCCCCACCACTGCCACCGCCAATAATGCAGGTTTAGCCTTACCGAAAGCCCTGGAAATGCAAGACGTAGACATTACTGAGTGCTTATATATCGGGTGATCCCCCGATAGATTTTCAATCTTCGGTCTCCGCACACATTGGCATCTTGTTTCGCTGCGCGGACGGCGGGCCTTAAGCCCTAAACTCCAACTACGCCATTGCCTGTCGACAAATCTGGATCTGGAATCAAATTCGGGAAAACAGCTTACAACCTGTTCAACCCTTCAGGCAGCGGTCCCAACACCCAAGATGGAAGCCCTTGGAGCTGCAGCTGCGATTGCGCAGTTCGTGAAGCTGTCCTTTACAGCAGCCCAATTGGCACACAGTATTGCATCCTCTTTTAAGCATGCGCCGAAAGAGATTATGGAGCTAGATGTCAGAACTCAACAACTTCACAGCCTTTTCAAGCAGGTTGACTCCTTGTGGGATGAGTTGCCAGAAACGCAAACTCGATTACCTTTGTTGACAGACCATCACATGGGAATGTTTTCCATGGGCATGCAGAACATCTTAGACTCACTGATGCGTCTCCAGAGTGCTATCGCAAGCCCCACCGGAGGCTCACAAAATGTGCGCTATCGGCTGAGATGGGCCTTGTTAGACAAGAAAAAGGCACAAGGTCTACTCCAAGACGCTCAGATGGCAAATAGCGAACTGAGTATAGTGCTTCAAGTACTCTCTGTGTGAGAACATTCGAGATCTGTGTCATTTATATATCATCTGACGTCGATCCAGCCGAATATCGTCCATGAATCAAAACTCCATTGTCGCTCTGTCTGGGGTGATGCGAGAAGAAAAAGGAAAATGTTTTGAGAACTGAAGGGTGTTTTCTGGGCGGAAATGACGCAGCTAAACGCACGCACCTACTTTTTAACCGCCGTCAATGCTACATACTAACATCTAAAAGGCTGTGGCTAAGGACCCCGCGACCAAGCCCGTCGTGACTTACGAGACGGGCAAGGTTGATGTCCGCTCGACGCTACCACGGCACGAGAATGCCGCTCTGTCTGGATTGATTAGCCACAACATGAAAGCCACTCAAAGAGTCCCCTTGGTTACCTTTGGTAATAGCAGCCGGTCTGTCTTGCCTGTGAAAGGATCCTACAGCGTAGGCGCAGACCTCACCTGGGAATCGAGACGCAAATCTCGGCGGGCTAAGCTTTTGTTCCACGCCGGCTTCAGTCTATTCGGTCAACAAATCCTCCGTTTTGAACTCTGTGCTCAACTAATCTGTCACTCTTGGAAAATTGGTCCTTCGATCAACTCGTCCTTGACCATCATCAACCTGCGGCCCAGCCACAGTCCAATATTTCTTGCTTGTCGTCGCTACAATATTGACGAGGTTCATTACTTGTTGGAAACGGGTCATGCCAGTATCAATGATGTTGACTCGGAGACGGGAGGATTGCTTGAGGTTGGTTACTTCTCTCCAGGTACCTCTCTCTTGCGGCTTTGCGGGTGGACTGATATGTTTTAAGCATGTTGTCTTGGAAAGTTTGATGGAAACCCGCACTCTTACTCCTGAAACAAAGTTTCTCCAAGGTGGTCAGGATCTGTTGGAGTATCTCCTGGATCAAGGTTGTGATCCGACTTTGATCCACAGTAGCACAAGAAACCAGTAAGCTCTTGCAACCTACACCACATCTTGAGTGCGATCTAAAAGCAGTCTCAGACCAGCAATACTGGCTGCTTTCGAACAAGGCTTCCAACAAGCCACTTTATCCATGATGTCACACGGGGCAGACCTTTGCTCCTTTGGCAGCGAAGCAGCAGGGCTTTTTTATGACCACAAAGGGTTTGTCTGGAAATATCGACTTTTGCAGTCAATAGGATTTTCAGACTGGCGGCTCGACAAACCTGCAGACAACCTGCTTTATGGTGCCTGTTGGAGCTCGAACTTGGACCTTAGTCTTTTTGCCTTGGAAATAGCCGGCATAGATCCCAACCAAGGAGGCATGCTTGAAAGAAAGCCGCTAGGCAACGCCGCTCAAAGGGGATGGATTGAAGGTATCGCAGTTCTCCTTCAGTACGGAGCCTTTGTCAACGTCAGCGAGGGTAGTTGGAACGGACCACCCCTTCATCGAAGCATGTCTCTTTCTCACATCATGACTGATACATCCCATTTTCTGCTACTCAAAGGTGCTGATCCAGGGCTGAAAGACATCAGGGGAATGTCTGCATGGGGCCATCTGATGTCAGAGCAGTACGACCCATCATTTGGCTGGTATCTCGAATTTCCGTACCTCGCCTTCGAAGGCTCAGTCGCTCACCTGCTTCACCATGGTTCAGACCCTTTTGAAATTTTTGTTTCTGATTACGAGATTCTCAACGGGCCACGTCACATCACTTGGTTTACTCAGATGGGGCACCTTCAAGCGCCAGACATTGCCCGATTCAGGAGCTATGGAATGTCACGGATGAAAGATAGATTTGAAGGTAGGGACGCTTTTCAGGATGGTCTACCTGAAGACTTGGTTGAACAATTGGAGATATGTGACCGCGCTCGCAATTTCGACTGGAAATTTCAATGGAACAAGGGTGGAGACATCAGCTGGAACAAAAGCTGTTCATCAGCAGGCCATGTGGAAGCAGCAGGCTCAGTATCGTCAGTAGACGATGAAGAACCTGATTGTGAAAATTCCACGGTGTCAGCGGACGCATACTCTGACGATGAAGACTCAGACCCTGACAGGAGTGATCGTTACATCACTCACGAGGGCAAGTTCGTCCCAATTTGGAAATATGCGGATTCGCAAACCCCAGACCTTGCTGACTCCTTCTTGTCATTCGAACTGAGCTCACGTTTCTTTGCAAACGCGACCAACTTCTATCGTCACATTACAACATTACAGGGCCAGAGGCAGCTTTCACGCTGGCCTATGGTCAGGGCTTTATGCGACGGTCTTCAACATGCAGGTTATCGGGTTGAGATGGGCGATGATGGCGACCTGTGGTATGATTGCGAAGATGGGGACAGATATTTCGATGCTTGGGAGACACAGCCCGCCGAAGACCGCGATAATTGGCTGGTGGATGTCTGCCCAATCTGCCAGAACTTTGAAAAGCATGGCCTGGGTCATATTCTGGACATCGAGAAAGAGGCCAAAGAAAAGGTGTGCGAATATAAGAGGCAGGTGAACGAAGGAAAAAGGAGATATCACTTTTCATAGTATCGTACTTGTTGCATTGGTTGGTTTCATGGCTTAGACTCAGATAATATCTCTCTGACCATTCAGCTTGTCTTTCCTTCCGCCTGAATAAATGAGGTGCTTTAGAAAAAGAATTCTGTACCAAGACACCGAGACCCTCTGGTCGTTCATGAATGGAATTGCGGCATTAGCTAGTGCCTAAGACTTGAGAGCAAAGGTAGTGATCTGGGTCAATTACGTACGCCATCATACCTTAACGTACCTCAGTCGCAGACCATCGCCGATTGGGTGACAGCTCCGGCGTAATTAGCAAAGTTTTGGCCTTTTTTCACACTCCGACCAGCCCATAGTTTGTGCTGCATGGAGATCATCGCTAACGTCGTGCCGTGCCTGCCGATCCTCCTTGTGGATGGGTGTTAGCTCTCAGAAACCTAGGTAGGTAAAGATTACGCTGATTTCAATTGACCTGTTGTGGCTGTCTCTCATTTGACGTTAAATGCCCTTGTTTTTACATGTGACAGCTGCATCCTTGCCCTTGCATTGCGTGCAATACTATCACACCCACTCGAACCTATTGAGGGTATTCCCAATTTCTACCTCACAACATACCTGCGAAGTCATCACCTGAACAGGAAGGCCAAGAGATTCTTATCTAACAATTTCCAAAAAGAGACTCAGTCTACATTTGCATGACATGTCTATTTCTTCCCCATGAGCTGATCACAATACAAGTCGGCAGGGTCCGATCTCAGCTCCACCTGAAGCTGACAAGGCCTCAAAATCCCCGCATTGAATAGTTCTCTCGCCAAGATCGTTGGGCGCCCAACAAAGGCACACAATTACACATAATTCCCACCTTGAAGCTCTTGGGGGCGGGGATTCTTCATCGAAAGCAGAAGGTCCTATCTCGGTCTGCGACCCACGTGTTCTCTCCCGACAGTCAGCCCAACCACCAACCTCTAAGCGCCCCGATTACCCCGCGATCAGCGACGAACTCTGCTACGATTGGGGACTAGGCACCGATTTGCTTGCCTTTAAACGGCCGACATCTCCGAGGCGATGCTACTCCAAACCCTGGCTGGTGGACCACGGCAACACCCACGGCGGCCACGAGACTCAATGACAGGCCAGGGCGCCCCTCTCCCGAGAAATACTGCGAACTGCCGGCCCTATCAGAATCTCCTATGACGCCATGAGCTCCGATGGGATGCCGATGATCACTTCGACTTCGGGATATACACGCGCATTCAACGCATTCCACAACACAGCTGTCACCCGTGCAGTTAATCAACGCCGTAGGCACACCTGAACCTTAAGGAGGGGGGCCGGTGCGGGCCGAGGTGCTGGAGTGGGCATAGTTGTGCTGCAAGAGCAATATCTTACAATGCAAAAACTTGCTTCCAATATCCTCAGGGCAACGCAGCTTCCTGTTCGCAGACCGATGTTCCCGGTTGGGGGCGGTTTCTGAATGGTCAATGGGATGGCATAACCTAAATGTGCCATGCACAGGTCAGCATGAGGCTCGGCCGACAGTCTCAAGTTGGGATGGTTTGACCGTTGAGGGCAGCACCGCTACTTGCGGGTAGGGTTGGTCCCTGGCCCTGCGACGCATTGCAAACTGGCAGGTCGTGATGCGACGACGACAGCCAAGGGCTTGGCCTGTGAGTCGCTGGTCAGGTCCACGCGCGGCACGCGCACGCCACGAGGGAATAGAGTTGATCAGCCACGGGAGATGCGCAGCCATACTGCTTAAGATTTAAGACGAAGACGATCCCCCCTCTGATTCCATGTCACGGAAGATCGTCAGAGCTTCAGTCTCCCACCGCCGACAAGACCGCCCTCCTGCTCATCCTCAAGCCCCAGACCCATCCCGGTCCAGCAGCTGACTCGTCACCGTCAAGATGAAGGCCGGTCTCCTCCTCGCCGCCGCACTCGCGGCCATGGCTGCTCCCTTCGAGAGCGTCGCTGCCCGCAGCGAGTTGGGATCCTTCCCCATGACTGAGCTTGAGGAGTACTACAAGCAGGCCTTTACCAAGCCCTCTACTGTTGCCTCAATTTCTCCCTCCATCGCCAAGCGTCAGTACAACGGTGACACCTTCAACCAGCTGACCGACGGCACTGCCTGCCGTGCTGTCACGGTCATCTGGGCCCGTGGCACCTACGGTGACGGCAACGTCGGAGAGGCGGGCTCTGAGGGTCCTACTTTCTTCAATGCCCTCGCTGATATCATTGGTGCCTCGAACCTCGCTGTTCAGGGCGTCAACTACCCTGCCAGCGTCTTGGGCTTCTTGTCCGGCGGTGATGCGGCTGGCAGCACCACCATGGCCAACCTGGTCTCCCAGGTGAGTCTCGCTTGTAAATTTGCCCTCCATTGACTCCATAGCTGACCACACCTTCAGGCTGCGAGCCAATGCCCCAACACCAAGATCGTCATGTCCGGCTACAGCCAGGGTGGCCAGCTCGTCCACAACGCTGCTTCCAAGCTCAGCACTACTCTGACCAACAAGGTATCTGCCGGTATGTCAAGCATTTTGCAACACCGCCTCCATGACTAGAATCTAACACGCGACAGTCCTCATCTTCGGCGACCCATTCGACGGCCAGCCCGTCGGCAACATCCCCTCCTCCAAGGTCAAGATCATCTGCCACGACGGTGACAACATCTGCGACGGTGGTATCATCATCACTGCGGACCACAGCAACTACGAGCAGGACGCCCCCGCTGCTGCTGCCTTCGTTGCTGGACTCGTCCAGTAAAGCGCTGAAACATGCGGCTACATGGTACAGGCGACAGCACTACGGATGGAAATTACGATGGCACGGCTACATGTAGTTAATGCATCACGTAGCATGGTGAGAAATGGGATTGATGAAAATCAAAAGCGACTATGATCACATGTGAAATATCTCAGTCTGATTCGCGGCACTAGAACTGTGTTGGGAGTTGTAAATATGGCTTGTCACGATTTTATGTTCATCTCTCCTTCTTCCCTCCTTCCCTTCTTGCCTTCTAACTTTTTTTCATACTTTCTTTTCGTGAAGCAAGCTACCTCCGGGGCACACGTTTTGGCCGCCGTATGACTCTGACGGGGAAATTGGCAAGGGCTAGAATTAGGCTAGAGAATCCTCCACGGCCAATCTATACAGGGGAAGCTCCCTCTCTTGCGTTCACCTCACTCCTGTACTTCCAGTGGTTTCTGTCCACAGACAACATGACTATGACAGACTTTAGAAACGTGCTTTTGCAGTCAGGGTTCACTTAGGACGACTTACAAGTCAAGCTGGGCATGGAACAGATGACGAGTCTTGAGTTCCTTGCGAACTGCAGCAAGAAGCACCTGGGCTTCGGTCTGGGTCTGCCCCAGAATTCCGCAGAAAACTCTCATAGAAAAGCCTTCCAGCCCGTCTAGAAGCTGTGTCAGGTTCATAGCCCCAAGATCGCTATACCACTTATCCTTAGGCCAGGGACCAACGGGGACTTTGAGCCTTGTGTGGGAACTATTCTGGAACCCAGCATCCTTCACCCAGTCTTTCAGCTTCGGGCCCGGACAAGGGTCACGTCCGACGGACTCCAGCGCAGAGACAAGATCCTTACTCCATTGCTTGAATTGATGTTCCTCGGTCAGCGTTCCGTCGTCTGAGTAGTAGTTGAAATCGGAGTCTTGAAACTCAACCCAGCCCCCGGGGTTGAGGTTGCTGAATAACAATCAGTCACTAAACTCATGAATTAAATACTAGATTGATCTAGTGACACTCACTCGTAGACCGTGCGGACCAATTTCGGCCAGTCGGTAACGCACGCAGCCATACATCGACAAAAGATGTAATCGTACTTCTTGTCGCCTACCCATGGGCTTTCGACATCATCGACAATGAATTTGACATTTGGACCAACCCTTGTTCAGTATGAGATTGCGCTTTTGGCAGTGATGTAAAGAACCGTACTATGACGTACCACTCTGGCTGGATAGCGCTGAGGTCAATGCCGATAACCTATTTTAATGAGTCAGAGTTGCCGATTGAAATCCAAATCGTAGGTCAGGTGGCCTACCTCGGCGTTCTCAAAAACATCTCCCATCTCCATGGCCCCTGAAGTTTCGGATTTGTTTAGCTCTACAACACATGGTGGGATTGATTGGCCTACAGATTCCGGTGCCCGTCCCAATGTCCAAGATTCGATCGATTTTGCCTTTCTCAAGAGGCGCGGTAAATAATTTATTACCCACTGCTCTCACCAACATCGCATGCGTGAAGTCCATACGATCCATCTCGTACTATAGAGCTGCATTAGACGGCGCACAAGAAATAGGAATCAAGGTAACACAAACCTCGTCGTTCGGCATAATGTACGCTGGTTCGTATTAATCTTCGTATTTGTTCTTCGAAGTTCAACAAAGAAAAAAAAGCACTCACATCCCGGGCGGAAAGCGTGGTAACGGCGACCGTATTCTATTGGATAGTCCACCGCGCTCGATGCTAGCGATGCCGTGTAAGAAGATCTGTGGCGGACAGTTCAGTCTCGTTGCCAAAATTTCAGGCAGTTCATGCCATACAGTTGCCCATCGTCAATTTCTGAAGAGCCATCTTCCGCCGGGTCATTAGCCCGTAGGACTTCGTTGTCGTCGTTCGTGGATTCGACAGGCGCAGGCACAGATGTAGGTGAGTTGGCCGCTGCGTGGGTCAACTGGCCTTCCGGCTGGGGTGCAATGTTTGGACTGGAAAGGACCGTCCGTGGCGAAGTTGACTGGGCATTCGAGGAATCGGCCATGATATCTGTCAAAAAGATACGTGTGGCCTGCAGACTGAAAGTCGATGCGGTTCGAGTTCGATGCGTCTGGCCGAAATCGAAGAGAAAAGAGGGCAGTGTAGAAAATTGAGAAAGGTTGTGTTGGAATCGACAGAGAGAAGAGGGGTGGCCGTCTAGCCTGGCTTTTTTTAAAATCTCGGCGCTGCAGGTGCAAGGTTGTTGATGCAAGGCGTTGACGAAGTACCAACGTCAAGGCAGTATCTAGGTATCCATCAATGGACTAGGGTAGTCACCAATCCAACCGTCGCCTAAAGTCACAAAGCTCCATCTTTTGCCGAGATAGGAAGCTGTTTACTACCAATGTTCCGCAATTTGCCTCAATAGCTCTTGAAGACTGTCATCATACCATGCTCCTACTAGGTTAGTTACACGATGTTATTTGATCTTATACTGGCTCAGTTACATAATGCTTTGGCTGGCATGCCAGTGTATAATAATCGTCCACCATTTGCATCATCAGGCACACATGTCTGGTGGGGTGATGAATCACAACCACTTTGACGATTCTATGGAGCTAACCACAAGCACAAAATCTATGTGTTAAATATTGTTTTCTTCCGAGATCTACTTCACATTTACAGATAACTTAGATTCTATTTGTGATCGAGCGTAATGTTTTCAATTTCAATTAAGACTTTGAAGTGAAACGTAAGTACCTCGCGCAGTCGAAATCCGAACCTCGTTAGTTTTTTCTTCTCAAGGAGACTGATTGATGGGCTTGGAGATGTGATTCGTTAACGACCTAATCATTCCCAGGACTTTATGCGTCGAAAGTCATTTACAGAGCTTACTCAGCCTCATAGGGGCTTCTGTGCGTATACAATATGGCTTGGACATAGTCAGATGGATATCTGCAAAAGAAGTCACGGAAAGGCTTACAAGTCAAATTGTGAGTGACAAGAATGAAGCTTCTTGAGCTCATTGCGCACCGCAGCCATCGCGACTTGTGCCTCTTCCTGCGTTTGTCCAAGGACTCCGCAGAATACCCTCATCGTGAATCCCTTAAGGCTATCCAGAACTTGCGTCAGGTTCATTACCCCCAGGGCCTTGTAAAAGAAATCTTTTGGCCACGGTGCTAGGGGAATCTTGACTTTTGAATAGTTGATCCTTTGGAGCCCTGCGTTGCGCACCCATCCCTCGAGCTTAGGTCCAGGCGAGGGCTCGCGCCCAATTGAGGCAATTGTGTCAACAAGGGTCTTGTTCCACTGACGGAAATAGTCCTCTTCAGTGAGAGTCCAATCGCTCGAATAGTACTCAATGCTTGTGTCTTGGAACTCGACCCATCCGCCGGGATTGAGATGGCTGGAATTTGATGGTTAGATGTCAGCTCTTACTATTTTCGGGGCTTCAGGTACACCCTCGTAAATTTTCTTCATGAGCCTCGGCCAAGCGATTCAAGCAGCCATGCAGCGACACATGATGTAGTCGTACTTTCTGTCACCGATCCATGGGCTTCCGACGTCGTCTATTTCGAACTTGACATTGGGTGGAACCCTATTCACAGGTCAGGACAAAGCTTGGTTTTTCTCTCACGTTCAGGAGGTCCTACCACTCGGGTTGGATAGCGCTGAGATCGTTGCCAATCACCTGTTGGCTCAGTCAGAGCTAATGTATTGTAGGTAGTTGCAGGCTCTTACATTCGATACACATCTTCATAGATAATGGTAGCAAGCTCGTACCTCGGCGTTCGGGAAAATGTCACCGATTTCCATAGCCCCTGCACAACTAAGCACTGAATATTCTGATGTTCCATTTGATTTGGCACCTACAAATACCGGTCCCAGTTCCGATATTCAGAATCTTTTGGATCTCCTCCTTTTCAAGAGGCGCGAGGTAAAGCCTGTCTTCAAGAGCTCTTACGAACAGCGCGTGGACGAAGTCGAGACGGTCCATCTCGTACTAGATACACTTGATAGTGAGAGCCTGTCGCAGTAGTAGACGTGAATCACGAACCTCATCGTTGGGAAGAACATATGCTGAAATTCTTCGTATTAGCGGCGTTCATGTATCAGAGTATGAAAAGAGGGTCGAAGAATTCTCTGTGAAGGAAACTACTCACAGCCTGAGCGGAAGGCGTGGTATCGGCATCCGTATTCAACGGGATAATCGACAGCACTGGAAGACAACGACGCCGTGTAGGATGACCTTGCTAATTCATCAGCTGATTTCGCGGGACTGTCGGGCACGCCAATTCACAATTGTTCGGTGTCAATTTCTTGAGGCTTTATGTAAGTTAGACAAAGCCGCTCAACAAAAGGACTAGAAGTGAGCCGTACCAAATCTCCATCAGCCGGTCGTGGTGCCGAATCCTCAGCTGAGGATCCAGCGGGCGGGGGCGAACTGGTGGGGAAACTCTTCGGAGGTGAGGCGGCCGAACTCGATGGGTTGTAAAGCGGTGCACCGGACTTGGTTCTCGATGTATCGGCCATATTGACACTAGCACTGCTACAACTCTCGCACTTGAGTAAACATTTACAGTGGAGGATGAGGAAAAAGAACAAAGAAAGGAAATAAGGACTTTTTCAAGTTCCCAGAGAAGAGGGGTTACTCAAGAGCCCAGTTTTCCGAATGCGCGGCGCTGTAAGTGCAAGGGTATCAGTACGTGTTGGTGCAAGCCAACAGGGAGGATGCAGAACACACACCTAATGACTTTTCTCGCCAATCATAAACCTTTCTCCCCTCCAAAAGTGCGAGCGGCGCATGGGAAGTGACTCCCTGGCGATTCACCACGCTCATGGCTGAAGAAGGAAGTCGGCAGGCGCAGCTGTTTTCAGTTTTATTTTTCCTCCTTGTGCACCTCGCTCTCGGGTTTGCCTCAGCATTGTGTACCGCCAAGGCCAGTTGGCTGTCATTGATCCTATCAATCACCAGCTTGAGTTCTTCAACCCAAACTGCAAGCTTTTTAACTGCCCGCAAGATATGCTACCATCACGCACATATCCCTGTATTCTGCCCGTGTCACAGGCTGCCATCCATGGTCGAGCAGCAACTTCCCAGTGCCTGCTCCGTTCATATCTCAAGCTGCGCGGACATCCATTCTCCCTTTCGATGATGGGATGCACAGGTCAGCAATCTACGTCAGGTGAACAGATTTCATGACTTCGACCAGATCAGGTTTCTTAAACCCTCTCAGCTTTTCGATGCAATGCCAGAAGACATCCGTAAGTGAAAATCCTCGGGGAGCCGGAGAATTTCAAATGCCACTCGTCTTGGCACCGAGTCCTCCCCTTGTCTTGATGCGAGTCATTCAAAGATTGCTCTGCTTCCATTTCTCTTCACAAAATACCTAGGCTTGCAGTGTTCTTTCAATATCGTGACATACACATTGAATTTGATGCCATTATCCAAAAGTTTGCAGCAGAGAATTGGGGGATGGAGCTTTTCCCCCATTGGATGCTTACATAGGGGGCATGACCCAACACGCGAGTTCTCTGATGCAGAGTTACCAAGACTTCGTCTGAGTGGTCAAGAAGCGAGACCAAATGATAAGAAAACGTGTTTGAGTGGGAAAATGAGGGGAACATGCAGTTTGTCCCATCCTCTCGGACTGCGGCGTTGTTCTTTAGCCACCGGTCTGCACCCGGACCAAGCCCACCGAAATTGGCCAGCAAAATCCACTCCGTCGTATGTTGTCCCTGTCAATTGTGTCTCGGTGGATACACGCCCAGCCAGAGAACCTGCTGAAACGAGTCTAGAGCCTGACAACGGCTGGGGAAGGACGATGTTTATTGGCCCGGGGAGACGGACTTTCATCCCCCTGGGCGGCCCATCCCTAGCTCACGGATTGCACAACCTGCATATTTAGCACCAACAGCATTTTGAACAGTACAAAGGACGAGCCCTGCCCGTTTGTTCTTTCGCCGGTCTGTTTTCTCCCAGAATTCTCGCACTTGGGACAGAAACTCATCATTGGCGCTTAGGAAATCTGCCGACAACATGTTGAATCCAAACACTGAGCAAGACATCCCTGTCGTATGTCCCCGCTTTCGCATAGCTTTCACAACGATAAACCGTCATGCTGACCTTTCCTCGCAGGACCCCAATGCGGCCACCGGGGCGGATGTGGACGACGTGACTGAAACATCGAGGTAGGATTTTGCAGATTTTCCAAAGCCTTGCTATCCACTAATTCGGGCGGATGGCAGCATCCGCACGTCGTCAACTACTTCTCTCTCTGAGAGCGTGCGCGAGTACAGGGAGCTCCATGGTCGGACCTTCTCTCAGAAGACAGAATACTGGGCTCCAAACGATGAGAGAGAGCAGGACGCTCTGGATTTCAAGTATGCGCTTCGACTACCAAAATAATATCGATACCTAAACTGATCCACGAAAGCCACTACTGGATGACGGATCTGCTTGGTCAAAAGTTGACTCTTGTTCCTCTTAAGGACCCCCAGGTTTGTCACCCTTGAGACAAACCAAGGGACGTTTATAACTGACTGCGTCCCAACATAGCATGTTCTTGACCTTGGCACGGGGACGGGAATATGGGCGACGTGAGCAGAACTGGATTTGGCTAGGCCCAGGAACCTTCACTGACAAATTCCCCAGTGACTTTGCGGACACACATCCGTCGGCGGAGGTTATTGGCACCGACATCTCTCCGATTCAGCCTGGCTGGGTGCCCCCCAACTGCAAATTCCAGATTGATGACTTCGAGCTTGATTGGACGTTCCCGGCAAATCATTTCGACTTGATCCACATCCGAAATCTGGAAGCTGGAGTCGCAGACTGGCCCAGGCTTTATGAGCAAGCTTTCAAAGCTACAAAACCGGGAGGCTACATCGAGGTAAAGCAAATCGACATCGAGTACCACTCCCAGTCAGTCGAGGTTACCGAAGACCACATCTTCCGAAGATGGTACAAAGCCATGACAGAATCCACCGATAAAATGGGAAAGACTCTGAGGAACGTCGACAATCACGGCATTGCTAAGGGCATGACGGAAGCAGGATTCGTGGTTGAAGAGGAGAAGGTGTGGAAGATTCCCATTGGTGGATGGAGCAAAGACCCGGAGTTGAAGAGGCTCGGGGCGTGTACCCTTGAGTACAATGACTCTATGCTCGAGTCTTTTGCTCTTTACTTGTTGAAGGAGGTACTTGGCTGGGAGTACACGGAGATCATGGTGTTCGTCGCTGAAATGCGGAAAGAGCTACGCGACCTCAAGAATCAGGTGTACTATCACTTGTAAGTCAAGCCATTTCTGCTCTTCTTTGGGCTCTGTATGATACTTGCTGACTAACTCACCACATAGCCACCTTGTCTACGGTCGCAAGCCCGAAGAGACTGCGGAGACACCTGCCGCCTAATGTAGTTTGAGCAGTGGAGCTGTCGCAGGAGGTCGTCCCCATGCCACCTACACTCAAAGACTATCAATAGCCAGTTAATTCATGCGTCATTCGTCTGAGAAAGCCGTCTTTTCACGTCGCTTTATTGAACAAGCTCATATGACATTCTCCTGTATTAACATGATTCTTTTTGATTATTTAGAATATCTCAGTCAACTTTTGCCTTGGTGGAGACAAGCTAAATCTTCGAGATAAAGGCCGATGTCACCCCAGCTTAGGACCCGCATTCAAACTGCGCTATTTGATCTGGTTTCGAAAAGCTGACCTGAGCGGTGAGCAGAACCTGGAATCCGGTTTTGATGCTGGCGCTCCCGAGCATCTTTAACCGCCAAAAACCCGAGATTTCAACGTCAGCGTTGGTGAGAAACACACAATCCTGATGAGGAAATTAAGACCCGACAATCATGAAGACGAGATGATGAACAAATTCCGGGATGAGCCGCTGTCATATCTCGAGCACATGGCCAAGTCTAGGGTCTACGAATCAACCACGTGAAAGCAAGAGCTATGGCGCGATATCCCTCCAGACCAGACCCAGGCGAACCTTTCTTCGTCCGCAAAGGGTATCCAACCCGCGGTCGCCTGAGAAAGCTTGATGCTTCATTGGTGCGGGGGCACGGACGGACAGGGCCCCTGGGCAGCTCGGTCTGCGACACGCAGAACAGGATCGGACGAAGATAGGACGCCATGCCGATACAAATGGAGAGCGTCTTCCGTCCCGACAACTCGGGCAGTTTTTCTTCCTTTCATCCATTCTTGCTGCCCGTTCGTTTTGCGTGATTCTAGCGACGGCCGACACGATGTGCGACGACGACCCTCCCAGGCCAAGGCCTTCCGACAGCAGTGACAGTGTGATTCCAGTGGTACGGCCCCCTATTCGTCTGTGGCATTGTCAGGGGTTGAGATGGATTCGGAGGTTTACTGACTCGCGCGACTCGCGCACCTGCAGGATCCGGCCGTTGAAGCTGGCACGGACGATGATATTGCCAGGTAAAAAACGAATCTCCACATGCAATGTTGCGCATGAATTTGGAGTGCTAAGGCGTGTTTGGTTGCAGTATCTATCCGCAGTCAACGGTGTCATTGACTGAGAGTATCATGCAATATCGTGAGATACATGGACGAACGTATACCCAGAGATCAGAGTATTGGGGCCCGAACGATGAAAGACAGAGTGAAGCTCTCGACTTCAAGTAAGTTGTTTTCCAATTGCATACATTCTTGAAAGTGGTGGCTTGATATCAGATTGCCAATTGCTAACTATATTTCCCAGCCACTTCTGGATTACGGACTTTTTCGAGGGTAGATTATTCCATGCTCCCATCGATGACCATCCTCAGGTATGATTCTTCTTTTTTGGGCTAGAAATTGCTTACAAGCCAGGCTGACAAGTGCTATAGAGAATCCTCGACATGGGTACCGGTACAGGTATATGGGCCATGTGAATATCCTCAACCTCTGGACCCACATTGCATGCTGACATGAACCAGAGACATGGCCGATCAATATCCCTCCGCCGAGGTTACTGGAGTCGATTTGTCACCCATCCAACCCACTTGGGTACCGCCTAACCTGAAGTTTCAAATCGACGACTTTAACCAAGAATGGACATGGCCGAAAGATCACTTTGACTACATCCACGGACGCAACCTTGAAGCTTGCTTCATCGACCTGCCCACGACAATGAAGGAGGCCTACAACCGCACTAAGCCGGGTGGATACATCGAGTTCCTGGAGTTCGAATCACAGGCCCGATCACAAGTCTCGGAATTGCCAGAAGATCACATCTACAGGACTTGCTATACGGCCTTGATCACTGCTGCGAATAAGCTCGGAAAACCGGGAGAGAACGTCCGGACGGGCGCGCTTCAGAGGGCGCTAGAGCAGGCTGGATATGTTGATCTCGTGCATCACAGGTGGAAAATCCCGATTGGCGGCTGGTGTGCCGATCCAAAGCTTAAACAACTGGGCTGGACCATTCTCGACTTCTTGAGCGACTCTCTGGAAGGGTTTGGGCTCTACTTGCTCAAGGAAGTTGCCGGCTTCAGTTATGAGAAATGTCAAGTGATGTTCAGCGAATACAGGGCTGCGATGCGAGATCCGAGGTTGCAGTCATTTTACTATATGTAAGTGTCATTCACAACGAGACGATAACTTGGTTCTGTCGTCATGCTAACCAGCATCAAGGCACGTCATCTATGCTCGCAAACCGGAGGTCTCAAAAGAGAGAAAGGCAGCGATCGCCAAGGAATCTCAATCTCATGACACAACAACGGCGGTATGAAGGGCCTGAGACTTTATGATAGGATCATCTGTTTTACTAGCGGTAGAAGACTCTGCTCCACGCATCCTGTGTTTCACGATACACGAGATGAACATGCCATTAATAAACTGAGCAACATGCCAAATCCCCTCGTACACGGCAGACGCTGTGCGATGACTTTCACCTGACCTTGTCTGCTTCTTGTATTCTTTCAATTGATTCTGGATCACAGTCAGCAATATTTATGAAATTCACCACTTCCGAGGTTGATGGAAAGTAGGCGCTCTGATTGGACAAAAACATGGACTGGTGAATAACCCCTGCGAATGCATCTGCATTCTACAGAAGTCCCGCGCATGAATGAACAACACGAGAGAAGACACGATACCAGATACCAGGGTAAGAAAATTCAGACCCATACGCCAAGTGTTCTGGTCATCCACTGTCATTTATGTTGTTAGGACTCTTTGGAGATGCAGCTGCTCCATCAAAGAAACAGGTGCCATACTCAACACTACATGTAACTACCTAGTACCTAGGAGGTATTACCGACACGTCTCCTCCCTACAGGCAAGTTGCAAAGAACAACCAGTTCAGTTTTCACCAGATCCTGCGATATCCGCAACATCCGCATTCCCTCTTTAACGCTTTGCCGATTGGTACAACACAGACAATGTAGATTGAGGGCAGCTTCAGTCTAGATTGCCGCACTTCACGACCAAAGCACCCTGGTTCACCACGCGCTCAGCGACTGTGGCCACCCAGAATGCGCCGGTATGAATGTGGCTCGATTCCGTGGTCAATTGAAGCGCTGTGGAATCTGATTGGATCGGGGAGACGGCCCAAAACGTCGCTTCCACCCCGGCCTGCAGATTGCGCATGTGCACGATGCATTTACTTCTTCAAGAATTGAACCAACAGGTTCCAACACGAAACGGGGACTACAAAAGAGGGGTCACACCCCTCACATGTTTTGTCGTTACGCTCTCCCTGTTCGAAAGCTCTTGAGAATACTCTGTTCAGCTTTCATTATTACCTCGTCCTCCGAATTGCCTCAAAATGAGTACTACTGCACCTGTTGCGGCCCCGATTACCGTCGTATGTGTTGGGAATCGTCTGGTAAAAGTTGCCACTGACAAGCGTTGGCGACATGCAGGATCCTGGTCTAGAATCTGAGGTCGAGGACGACCAAGGTGACCGGAACAGGTATGCTTTGCCAGTGCCTCCTCCGCAAGCGTTTGGTTTGAGCTCATTCTGAATCTTGATACACAGCACGTACACTTCATCCACGGCGTCCCTCACTGAGAGCATCAAGGAATACCGCGAAATCCATGGTCGTACGTACACACAAAAAACCGAGTACTGGGGGCCAAACGACGAGAAGCATAATGATGCCCTTGACTTTAAGTGAGTCTTCCCGATGGAACTTTGCCCAGGAGGCCCACACCAGTAGCTTCGAAAGCATCGAAAAACGACATTCTAATACTCAACAGCCACTATTGGATGACCGACTTTTTTGATGGCAAGCTGGCATTGGCGCCGATTGGAGACAGCCCCCAGGTAAACGAAAAGCCCTGATTTAGTAGCGGAGTGCGGTTACTCACACATTCTCAGAGGGTTCTTGACCTTGGTACTGGCACGGGTATCTGGGCCATGTAAGTCACCAGATCCCCTGCTTCATACTGGGTCTGTTTGCTGACATGTCGTTCGAAGGGAATTCGCCGACGAGTACCCTTCTGCCGAGGTGGTCGGCACCGATCTATCGCCGACTCAGCCTACGTGGGTTCCTCCCAATGTCAAGTTCATCATCGATGACTTTGAGCAAAAATGGACCGGCTGGCCCAAAGACCACTTCGACTACATTCATGCTCGGAATCTAGAGGCTTGTTTCAAGGATGTGCCGGCATTCTGCAAAGAAGCATTCCACCACACGAAGCCTGGAGGATGGTTTGAAATCATTGAATTCGATACCAAAGGTCGCTCTCAAAGCACTGAGTTGGACGAAAACCACATTTTCAACAAGGGGCATGCGTGGATTTGCGAGGGTCAAGCCAAACTGGGCAAGCCTTCGGGTAATGTATCCTCGGGAAGGTTCAAGCAGGGGCTTCTCGACGCAGGGTACACCGAGCTTGTCGAGAAGAAGTGGAAGATCCCAATCGGTTCCTGGCCAGCAAGGGCAGATCTCAAGAGACTTGGCCAGTGTAACCTGGAATTCATGGAGATGTCTCTGGAGGGTTTTATGCTTTATCTCCTCAGAGAGGCTCTTGGTTTCAGCTACGCTGAGGCTCAGGTTACCATCACCGAGGTGAGGGCTGCTTTCAGGGACTCGAAGCTTCAGCCCTTCTATTACATGTAAGTTACGGGATGTCACCGAATCAAATTTGACACAATGCTAACAGGTGTTCAGGAATGCCATCTACGCACGCAAGCCTCTGAAGGCTGAGGACACGGAGGCTTAACAGGCACGCGACTGCCCAAGCGAGTCTCGCTCGTAATGCCATGTATGTGCGCATTTACGACAACCCAGGTACTGCGATTGTAGAATTCTCCTTACATCATATGAACTCAGTCACTCATAGAATTCATGTTACTGCTATCAATGATGAAGCATGTCGGGATGATCTTTCCTCTGACCTCGGCCCGGTTCGTCGCAGAGACTGCGCTCTGTCGCTGCGCAAAAGCTATGCCGCATGATGTA